CACCACAGTATCAAACAGGAAAATACCGCCGAGTAATCCATTTATTTCAACGAAGTAACTGTATTCTACAGAATACATACAACCTTAGAATATATACAACCTTTTTAAACGGTAACTGTAACAGAATAGAGTTACTCAGATTTTGTATTTTAAATACGTAATGGCGGCACATGTTTTCCGTTATTTTATTTTTTTTAAAAGCACAAAAGAAATAAACTGAATATTTATATTTGGATTAAAATGCCTTTTTCTTTCACATTATAAAACAATAAATATAAAGTTTAATTGAATCCTGATTGTCTACTACATATCCTTGCTATATATTTTTTTTAATATCATTTAATGTGGCAGGAGTTCCATTCATTTACATTAACCAGTTTAATTATGAATTAAATTATTAATTTTTTCATCTGAGGTTTGTATTCACTCTCTGAGTAACAACTCAAGCTGATTTTTAACCCTGTGCTGAGTTTTCACTTTTTAAATCATTCATAAATACATTCATATGTGAACCTTCTGTTAGACTGGGTGTATTATTACATCTGGACCCAATGTACATTTCACTGACAGAAAACGACATTAGAAATATAATCATCCCTAACTCATCTGCTCCATGACACTGCCACTTTTAACGGCAACACTTTCACTTCTTCACGAGTGCGAATATATGGAAACATTTTCTCAGTGAAAGTGTTTCTGAAGGTGTGTATGTGTGTGTTAGTATCAGGATCAGAGAACGACAGCTTTCTTCTGTTCCAGTTCAGATTCACTCTGATCCTCTGGAGCTTCTTCTGGACTGAGAGAACAGTGAGAGGAGCTGATGGTGAGTGTGCTGAGTATTTGCTTTCAAATAACTCTATTCTCCATAATTCAGACCATAACTCTTTCTTCCTCCCCATAGACTTTGTCAACACACCTAGGTCCCAATATGTACTGTCTCCAACCTCGACATCCCAGCTGTGAGTCCCTGAGTTAAAGCCCTCAGAGCCCAGGACAGAGTAAAACCAATTAGTTCTCTCTGGATTATCAGGAAGCTGCTGCCTCTCTCCTCCTCTCACACTGGTCAGATCTTCGGACAAGATGAGGTCTGAGTTTGCAGTGTTTGGGTCCAGAATGAGAGCAGTGTAGGAGACCATGTCCTTCATGTTGTTCCAGATGTTGAAGGTTAGGTTGCCCAGGTGTTTGGCCTGGTCTATCAGAGCTCCTGAGGGCAGCTGTGGATCATCCAGCAGGGGGCAGCGCTGGACTCTTTCCACTGCAGCCTTGTAGTTGTGCAGGAATGAGACGTCTTCAGCTCTCAGCTC